GGAGGTTCCTTTAATCTCATGATTCTCTGTGGTGCGCAGAGAATGGTGTCTGATTCAAAGATCTCTGAGGTTCCCTTCCAGCTCTGAGTATCTATGCCTTTATCAAGAATGATTCAGGCAAACAGCCTGTATTGTTTCATCTTTTACTTGAAGCATCTAAATATCTCAGAGAATGCTGATTATCGATACTCTAGGTCATCATAATAAAACAAACACACCCTACAGAACAGTTAAGATTATATATTAAGCTAGGAGTAAGTACACCTAGAAGCAAAGATGAAGCCAGGATGGAGGCTCCTTTCTCACTCTCAAAAGGTGCCTCATGTGACCAGGAAGAACAGGTTTCCTGTGTTGAAGAGGGGGAATGTTAGCCTGCTTCCCAGACCCTCTGCTTATACCCCAGACTGTAATTGAATGATGCCTCTGGCATAGCAAGTGGGGAAGATCCACTGTTAGAATTAAAAGGGACCACACTGTATGCTCATCTCCTGCTACTTGAAGTGCTGTCAAGCACTACTTGACCAGCAGCATGAGCATCGCCTAGAAGCCTGTTAGAAATGTAGAGTCCTGGGCACCACCCCAGATCCACTGAATCAGAATCTGCATGTTAACGTGTCCCCCAGGTGATTCACAGGTACACTAATACTTAAGAAACATCCCAATCTTCTTGTTTTACAGACTAGAAAGCTGTGGCTAAGAGATTATGAAACCTGTTGGCAGCAGTGACAGGTTTAGAATGCTGGTCTCCTGACATGGCAGCCAGGGCAATTGCAACCAAGCACTCTGACTTCTCTGACTTCCAGTCATCAGCCATCCTCATGATGCCTTCCACTGGCTGGGCTGGATTCAGCTCCACGAGTCCACCTACCTCGGCCTGAGAGCAAAGGAGAAGGGCTAGCTTTCCATCAATGGCTCTCTCTGGAACCAGCGTTCACTCCTGTCCATTAGAGCATGAAGAGAGTTGCAGTCCTTCTGCCCACAACACTTCTTCCTGCTGTTGTCTTATGGGGCTGGGAGGAGACCCAGGACAATGTACCCTGAGACTTGTGGACTTTTAGTTCATTCAATTCCTAGGAGCTAATTTCAGAAAAGCAGAATGGGCCAAGAACTTGATGACATTGTCATCTTAGACACCTGCTACCTCCAGTGTATGAGTTCTCCTGTTTTAATGCCCTTTCTCCTATGGACACCAGTTTTTACACCAAAAGAATGCAAACAAATAAATAAAAATGAAAGGCTCCAGGAAATACAATTTTGCTTATAGAGATTATGAGACAGATCCTTTTAAGTACATAAGTCCTTCTTTACATGTGGATCTGAAACTGAGCTTCTCTTTACTGACTTGTCACCAAGATCCTAATGGGAGTCTACATTTTAGTACTTTACAATAAAGTTTTGTTTTGTTTGTGTTGAAAAATAGTACTTCCTTAGGTTCTCCAATGAGAGTTTTTGTAACCTGGATAGATTATTGTAAAGAAATGACAAGGCCAGGCATGGTGGCTCATGTCTGTAATCTCAGCACTTTGAGAGGCCAAGGTGGGAGGATGGCTTGAGCCCAGGAGTTCAAGACCACCCTGGGCAACACAGGGAGACCTGATTTCTACAAAAAACACAAAAACTAGCTGGGCGTGGTGGCGCATGCCTATAATCCCAGCTTCTTGGGAGGCCGAGATGACAGGATCGCTTGAGCCCAGGAGGTTAAGGCTGCAACGAGCTGTGATCATGTCACTATGTTCCAGCCTGGGCAACAGAACGAGACCTATCTGAAAAAAAAAAAAGATGAAAAAAAATCCCCCATTCTACCACCATGATACATTCATTGTTCAGTTATATCAGTTAGACATACAGGTTTATTACACCAAATAAAGGCAAGAAGAGAGCCTTTAAACATGAAAAGAAATGCAACTGGTTTTTAAAAGTGGGCAAAACTGAGGGGGAGAAGAGAAAGATAATGCATAATTTTTGCATAAAATATTAATAGGTTCATTTCTTCAACAGAAGTCTGGAAGTGGCAATGATTTGTCTCTTCAGGTTTCCAAATGCCTCTCTCCCCAAGTACTATGGCTGGGGCTGGGTTCTGTGCATATTTCTTGACTTTCGTGTCCATTGAGCAGTGTTTTATTTTGAAAGATTAACATACACAACTGACATAGCAACTGAAAGTCCAGTTTTGGTATCAGAAAACAGTCTATTAGAACTAATGTTCACCAGTTAATAGAATTTTCTCAGATGACTATGGCCTTTTTTTTTTTTTTTTTGTAAGAGCAATGCACCATGCAACAGAAGATGGGTATATTTTAATTGCAATGATTTGAAATACCATCTTCTGACTAACCTAAATCATGTCCACTGGGTGCCGCTAAGTCCATGCAAGTAAATTCAGATTGCCAAGGAAACCACAGGGGATCTGAAGTCTTAGGATAAAGAGATGGAAGTACATGGCCAAACCAAATATTATAAGCACACAAGCCACTCTGGCCAATGCACAAACTTACACATATTCAAGTAAATACTTTTAAATGAAAGTAAAATCACAGCACTTACTATGTGGTCTTGCATTAATATTTTTTCTGAAGGTACAACCCGGCCAGTCAGAGATATCTGGCTTCCAAAATGCAGTCCCCAGGTCTCTAGTTCAAAACGAGCATTGGTGTTCCTGTTGATAGAGTTGTTTTAAATCATTAAACGGAGGTATATTTACAACTTACTGAATTAGTCAGGGGCTGATTTTCTGTGTCTTCAGGATTCCTGGCTTCTGATTCTACTCAGCATATTTTTTCCCTGCTTAAAAGAATTATGGGACAACTGTGCTCATTTGGGATGTTCAGGAATGGGAAAAGGATTCCAGTGGGAGTACAGTGGTTAGAAAAATAAGCTTTCGAGCCAGACAGACCTGGGTTTAACTCCTGGCTCTAATGTTTAATAATATATGACCTTGAGCAAAGTATTAATCTTTAAGGCCTTGGTTTCTTTACTGGCAAAATGGAAGGATAATAAAAGTACCTACTTCGTAGGGTTGATATAAAGATGAAATATGATAATACACAGAAAGTGCTTACCACAGTCCCTGGCACATGGCATGTGCTCAAAACCTATGAGATATTACCATTCGTGATAACACACTTGTTAATAAAGAGATATTTTGGAGCCAGTGGAAGTGGAGATGTCTTTTGCAAATATCTGAATTCGTTGGGTTGAGAGTCGAGGAAAGACGATAAAAGAAGGGAACATAAGAATTTAAGCTTCAGAAGATTCAGGGTCTTCCTATTACCCTGTCTATCCTATGAGGAGAATATTAATATCAGCAATAATAACACTACTTTCTATTGTGTAGTACTTTCCATTTATAACTTAATAAGCTTTAATCGTAGTTGACGTTTTAGCTCATGGGAGTATGATATATGATAACTTCCACTGAGCCATAAGCTCCTTGAGAGCAGCAACCACATATAGGACTCAGCACACAGTAAGCCAGGCATTTGCAGGACATGGAGGTGACCCCCACGCTTTTGTTTCCCTATTAAAGCTCTACCTCTTTTTTTAGGGGAGCTCCAACCTCTTCACCACTGTCTCTCAGCAATAGCTCACTATTTCCACCTATTCAGATTATGTCTTCTCTGGTCACACTAATTCCTTTGAGTTAATTATTTTGCTTCAGATACTAACTGCCCAAGATGAGATGAGTGAGGCCATCATTGGTCAGGAAACAGGGTGAGGTGGGTGGTATTACTGAAAGATGGCAGATAGATGCATCAGGAAGATTAATCCACAGTCACTATAAGGGAAACAAATGAGGAATCCCTTCTGAATTCGGTGTAAGTCTGAGGGATATCCAGGGTAAATGACGTAAAGTGTATCCATGAAATAAAAAAACTATGAAACCACTAGCATGATAATAGAGGTCATGTTTACCATACAGAAGTGTTTGAGAAAAACCCTGAAGTGAAAAGAGCAAGTTACAAAACATGATGTACAGTACTATACCATTTCTCTTTAAAAAAAAATAGGATTAGGCCGGGCGCGGTGGCTCACGCCTGTAATCCCAGCACTTTGGGAGGCCGAGGGGGGCGGATCACGAGGTCAGGAGATCGAGACCATCCTGGCTAACACAGTGAAACCCAGGCTCTACTAAAGAATATAAAAATTTAGCCGGGCGTAGTGGCGAGCGCCTATAGTCCCAGCTACTCGGGAGGCTGAGGCAGGAGAATGGCGTGAACCCAGGAGGCGGAGGTTGCAGTGAGCTGAGATTGTGCCACTGCACCCCAGTCTGGGCGACAGACCAAGACTCCGTCTCAAAAAAAAAAAATAGGATTATATGCATTTGCAAAGTCTGAAAGAATATTACTAATATGATAATAATTGAATTATTAATTCAATTGTGATTCACTCATTTGTTAAATATTTACTGAGTAAACACACATACACACTCTTTTCTCTCTCTCCTTTCTTTGTGCTATGGAAATTTCCAAATCCTCCAATAGCTAGTACTACTTTAAAAAAATTTTTTTTAAAAAAAGACTGTTGATCAGCAATATAGCCCAATAGAAATATAAAGCAAGCTACATATGTAATTTTAAATTTTCCAGTAACCACCTTAAGAAAGTAAAAAAGTGGCAAGTGAAATTATGTTTTAAATATATGTTACTTAACCAATCATTTCTAGGTGTGTCACTAGCCACATTTCAAGTGCCTAGCAGCCACACTAGATAGTTCAGTTTTAGAGGGTCAGAAAGGAAAACCAAAGAGAAACTCAATTTTCCAATCACATGTCACAGCAAACTGTCAAAAGAACTGAAACACAGTCTGATAATCAGATAGGCAGAACCAGATGGCACAAAGGTATATCTCAAATTTAAAAGGCACATAGTGGGGTTTTCCTAAAGTTCAGTCTGCTAAGGCCATTGTATTAAGAGTTGAGCATTCCTGACCCAGAATACTGGGGGCCTGGTGTTTTTCTGGTTGCTTTGTTTGCTTGGATGTTGTTGTTGTTGTTGTTTACATTGTAACCTTTTTCTTTATTCCACATTTTATCCAGACCTCAATGTATGAAACAGATGAAAGCAGGGCATGCAGGTAAAGTGAGTATTCTACTCAGCATATTTTTTCCCTGCTTAAAAGATTTCTGGGACACTTGAGCCCGCAGGATCGCTTGAGCCCAGGAGGTTAAGGCTGCAACGAGCTGTGATCATGTCACTATGTTCCAGCCTGGGCAACAGAACGAGACCTATCTGAAACCATCTAATACTAAAAACTCAGCCCCAGGCAGGATGCATGCGGTGATCCAGCACCTCTGGATGTTGTCCACAAGCCTGGCCAGGCGCTGCTGCCGGCCTGAAGGAGGGAGACGTGTCTTTTCAGCCACAGCCTTCATCAGCTGGAAATCAGAGGTTGCCCGGTCAGTCAGCCCTATTAAATGCAAATGAAGACAAAGTGAGAAAATGAACATAAGTGACTCAGCCCATCGCAGGCCCAGTTTAAACCTTTCCGCTTGAATGCATTCACCATCTGTATGGCACAACCAATACAAATGAAAACCACGTATGTCGTTTTAAGTTTTCTGGTAACCACGTTAAGAAAAGTCAAAAAAGAAACAGACAAAATTACTTTAAATAGTGTATATTATTTAGCCCAGTATATCCAACATATTATCATTCCAACATGTAATCAACATAAAACACTTATTGATGAAGTAGTTTCCTTCTTTTTTTCATATTAAGCCTTTCAAATCTGGGCTGTATTTTACAGCATACCTCCTCTCAGTCTTTTGGTAGAGCTAGTCCCAATTCAAGTGCTCAAAAACTCATGTGCTCCTGGCTATTACATTGGGTCCTGCAGACCTACAATATCAGAACACCATTAAGAATGAGCACCCCTTAGGCTGGGTGCTGTGGCTCACACCTGTAATCCCAGCACTTTGGGAGGCTGAGGCAGGTGGATCACCTGAGGTCGGGACTTTGAGACTAGCCTGACCAACATGGAGAAACCCATCTCTACTAAAAATACAAAATTAGCTGGGCATGGTGGCGCTTGCCTATAATCCCAGCTACTTGGGAGGCTGAGGCAGGAGAATCGCTTGAACCCGGGAGGCAGAGATTTCAGTGAGCTGAGATCATGCCATTGCACTCCAGCCTGGGCAACGAGAGTGAAACTCCGTCTCAAAAAAAAAAATAAAAAGAATTGGCACCCCTCCCCTCAAGGATTATATCCTCATTAATCTTTCTTTCTTTTCTTTTTCTTTTCTTTTTCTTTTCTTTCTCTTCTCTTCTCCTCTTCTCTCTCTCTCTCTCTCTCTCTCTTTTTCTTTCTGACAGTCTTGCTCTGTTGCTCAGGCTGGAGTGCAATGGCATGATCTTGGCTCATTGCAACCTCCGCCTCTCGGGTTCAAGTGATTCTTCTGCCTCAGCCTCCTGAGTAGCTGGGATTACAGACATGCATCACCATGCCCGGCTAGTTTTTTATTTTTAATAGAGATGGGGTTTCACCACGTTGGCCAGGCTGGTCTTGAACTCCTGACCTCAGGTGATCCGCCCACTTGGCCTCCCAAAGTGTTAGGATTACAGGCGTAAGCCACAACGCCCGCCCTTCTTATTTTTCTAATGGCAAAATAGATATATACGCATCATAACTGACTCAAGGAACACACAAATGCAAAATGTGGAAAGTCTTCCCTTCCCAGCCCTACCCATTAGTCGAAAGAACATTGTTAAAAGTGCTCAAGGCCGTTATCCAGATTTTACTGTATAGTGAGGATTATATTATGAAAATTCATGCAAAAAGAAAGTAAGGATCATTCTGGCACCGATCTACTGATATACCTGAAGAAAATCTAAGTCATATTCCTTCCTATACTAGTAAATTCAAACAATGGCAAAGAGAAACTTGGTTTTAGGATGATATCAGGGGTTCTATTTTACATCAAAGTAATACATGGAATATATGAGATAAAGGAAATAGATTCCAAAGGGCACTCGATTCCCCCAACATGTCTCTATTATTGAATAAATTACTTAAAAGGTCCATCCTCCATGGGTTAAATCAATGTCCTGGCATTCAGGTAACTTAAAGAGGGTCTGCCCACTGCCAAGCATCAGGGGCCGGTATCCAGGAGCCTGACAGAGGTATAAAACACAAATATTACCTGTTAGAAAGCAGAGCTCAGGTATCAGGTGGGCGAGCCGAGCCTCACTGTTGTCATTTCTCTTCCTCTTTAACAGACTAACAAGCATGGGCTGATTGAGGTCAGATACAGTAATATCATATTGCTATAAAACGCAAGATTAATGAGGGAAAAGTCAACGTGGAAGCACCGCCAGGTGAGCATCCTTACATTCAACAAGGTGATCCTAACATATATAAAAATGTAACCAATCCCATGGTTACCTACTTATTGCTACTTTCTTCCCAGGACCTTTCTATCTGAGGGCCAGTTTTATTATTTTAATTATTTTTTCTAACACAACACCATTAAAAAATATAGTTTCCCTGCTATCTCTCGGTTTCAGCCAGATTCAGAATAGACTCCAGCTGGTTCTATACATAGGTCAATGACATCACTGGGACTGACTCAAAGCCAGCATTTCCACTACTGATGACTGAGGCAGACTGCCCCATGCTTAACAATCTGGCTCTAAACATCTATATTCATTTTGAAAATATCTATACACAAGCTGGAAGCAAGTTATATTGAGACAATCTCAGATTTCACAAAAAAGCATGACTGTCCTTACCTTCTAGGACAGTAGGATGTTACAGGGAAGCAGTCCTGAAGTCTGACAAATGTGAATTTGATCCCCAGCTCCTCTATTTGCTTGGACTGTGACACTGGGGAAGTGACTTAACTTTCCTTATCTATGAAATAAGGATAACAGTAGCTCACAGGCATCCTATGTAAACCATGAGCAAGGGGTCTGGTTTATAATGAATCCCTGGCAACTGTTAGTTCATATTCCTCTCCCTTTGCCATCCTAAACTTCAATTTCAGCATTCTCACCTTGGCAAAAGCTCATTTACCCTCCAGTGACAAACGTTACAATGAACACTCGTTTCCATTATAATTTGATCCACGTTAGTGACAGAATAACTGGAATTATAACGTATAAAATGCCTGGGTATTGTAACACTAACATCAATAATCACAATTAAAGAAGTCAAATGTGAGCATTTCTCTATTTCAAGGAAAACTTTGTCATTAAAATAAAAAACGAGTCAAGAATTTCATTTGAAAGCAGCAGGTGCAACTGATGCTATGGCTAAAAAACTTGGAGAAGCCTTTATCAAGTGAGTTTGCATACATGACTCCATTAATTTAGAACACATGGTGTGCTTACTGTGTTCCAGAACAGCAGTGGATAAGAAGATAAAAGTAAAAGAGGCACAGTCCCTGCCTTTCTGCATAAATACATTATCTACAAAGCGAGGTCCACAGGAAGCACAAACAATGCATAGCGAAGCACAACAAAGGACAACAAACTGATGAAAGAGATACTATTATTGTCCCCTTCACAGATGAAAAAACACTGAAACATGAAGCAATCTTCCCAAGGCTCCATAACTGGAAATTAGCATAGCTAGGATAGATCTGTTAAGACTCTGCTTGTTGTACCACTCAGTACCGGATCCCCGGGCTGGAGTGGGAGGGGCGGGGAGGAAAAGGAGATGGTGGTAGTGACACAATTATGGCTGGTAAATCAGGGAAGCCTCCATGCAGGTGGAGACCAAGAGAGGACCTTGAAGAAAACATGGGAGTATGGAGAGTCTCAGGTAACAGCTCCAGCAAAACGAAGGCATCCTCCAGGAAGAAGGACTCTACCTGGAGCATGGCCAAGAACTCTAGCCCCTAAGCTGCTCCCACAAGGCAAATTTGACCCTTTCCCTTGACCCAATTTTCTTAGCATTTGAAAATACTTTGTATGATAAGATAAAATAGAGAAATATAAAGGTCAATATCAGGATGTCTTCCACTTTGAAAACTGACTACATAATAACTGAGTCTTTCTTTCCTGGGACAGGGAGGAGGGCATACTAAAAGTTGTCACAGTGTTCTTTCTTTTCCTCCCTAATTACAATATCTATGCAGTGAAGCACAACTCATTTCAAAAAACAGTGACTGGGATTTTTACCATGATTCCCGTTTCAGAATGTCACAGGTCCTAAAATACTTCTGTTTAAATGAACAAATTTAATCATGCAAGAAAGAAGCCCTAATGTTTAACAAACTGTGGGTTTCATAAACACAGAACACATTTTATGCACAAGATGCTTTGCTAGATACTATGCATCAAGGATTAGCCAAACGCCATCCTTGCTCTCCAAGGAGTATGTGTTCAAGAAGCAATGTGATGAATGCACAGGTACTTAGAAGGGAGAACAGCTTGCTCTTCTATGTGTGTGACAGAAAGCAAAGCCAGAGAGGACTTCACACTTGGCCTTGAAGCTAGGATTTGACCTACGGGTAAAGGAGAAAAGTACAGCGTGGCTTTCTGCAGATGCCTAGTGAACACATGCAAAGGCTAAGGAAGGTGTAGGCCAGTGAGTGGATGGGGGATAAAGGCATGGGGTGCATAGTAGGGATGCTGAGAAATATAAGAAAGAAAGAGGGGGCCAAACTATGCAGTACCAGAGAGGAAGAAGCAGAGGATAGAAAAGGAGGAGCATGGTCTCCACTGTTCTCCCAGTGCTCACAGAGTGCAGGCACACTTCAATGCTCTGTGTGCATAATTATCTTGTTCGGTTCTTACACTACACCATGAAGGTAGACAGATAAATTTCCTTTACACATGACACTCTGGGTTTAGTGATTTACCCAGGGTTACACAGCTGGAGCCAGACCATCTTACTCAAGAGGTTATGCTTTTAATCAGATTTCTGGGCAACACTTCAGAAAGATCTCTCTGATGGCTGTGAGCATGAGAGATCACAGTGAGGAGAGAGCTAGGGCATAAAGAGTGATGGTAGGGGGAGGGGATCCACGAGATGGCCTGCATTAATGCAGTGGGAAAAGGGCTGGAAAAGAGAAAATTCACGGATAAAGGATACAGAACTTGCCTTGGTGACAAGCGAATGAGGAGGTTAACTTGAAGAAGAGGAAGAAAGCAAAATCCTTCCTGTCTGAGCTACAGAATTTCCAAGGAGAAACAGGAATGGGAAAGACAATGAATTCAGTCCGAATTATATTAGTTTGAGATGCCTGCAGGGTATTCATGCAAATATGTTCTGAAAATGGAGATGAATATGTAATTTGGGAATGAGGGCAAGGCAAAAACACTATATTTGAGCCATCTCAAAATACAATGAAAAGGTTCTGTATGAGGGAACCATGGTGAAGAATGGTTCCTTTGTGGGGAAGGGAGGAGGAAAATGTCAAAGGAGACTAAGAGAGAACAACCTGAAAGTAGCGGAGAGCCGCAGGGATGTATCCCAGGAGTCAAGGAAGGAAGAGATCAGTTCCAGCCGGTGGGAGAGGTCACAGGTATCAAATGCACTGAAAGCCCTTTAGGATAAGAACAGTAACTGAACTTGACTCTTCTAGAACTACTTCTAAAGCAGCAGAACTGGATACCAGACTGCTGAGGTTTCAGGAAGGAAGAACGGGAAAGGTGCTTGGAGCTGGTATAAATGACTTTCTAAAGTTAGCTAAGGAGAAAAAGAGAGCTTTTCCTGAAGGTGTACAATGATCAAGAAAGGGTTTTTGGATTTGTTTGTTGTTTTAACCTGAATATTACTATACATTAAAGAGAAGGCACTTTCCAAAGGAATTGAACATGGAAGATGAGGGGCAGGGATAATTGTTGCAAATGCGATTAGAGTTTCCAGAGACAGCAACAGATTCCATCAATAGTTTCTTGAGTATCTAATATGCGCAAAGCACTGAGCTAGCCCTGGGTCTCCAAAAATAAGGAGCCCCCTCCCCAGAGCTCAATGTCTAGGATGGGGCTCAGACCATTCGCATGGTGCCTGTGATGACCTGATACAGGGAGGGGATCCTGGGAGGAATGCTATAGGGCTCCCTTGAGACTTGATGGCTGAGTTGAGTTCACAAGGGTGTCTAGTGTTCGTCTGGCTGTCAAGAGGTATCCAGGAAAAGGAAGCAACATGTGTGAAAATGCACAGGGGAGAAACCGAGTCATGGAATCACAAGAGGCAATTACATCAGAGTCAGGCAAGGGAGCAGGGGAATGGGAAGAGATGAGGCTTTAAAGGCAGCATTTGGCCACATCATAAGGAGCCTTGAAAACTCTGCTAAGGGGCTTAAATGTGGTCCTAAGGCAATAAGGAGACATGGAAATGTATTAACGTTGGGAGCAGTGTAATCAGATATGCGTTAAAGGGAGATTAGTCAGACTACAGGAAGAAGGAAACAGGAGATAGGATGAGGGTCAACAGGAGACCGGGATGGTGGGGATGAAGGAGACAGACAAGTCAGAGAATCAGGTCGGAGGCAGACTCAGCCTACAATCTGGGGGACCTCTGAGACTTGGAATAAGTAGACTTCTCTGAGGTAAAAGGAAAGGAGATAGAGATGAATGAAGAAAAGTCCTACCTGCTTGTAGTAATCCACATAGGTGATCTCGGTGCCATCCCGCTTCTGAAAGGTGTGTGTGGGCTTCACTGACCAGTCAATGTCATCAATGGAGTAGGTTCTGTTATTGTATCTGGCAAATATAAAAAGTCTTTAAGATTTTTTAATCATCTAACATAAGCAGCTACTTCACCACACTTTTAATTCAACACATAAGATAGACTCCAGAATGTCAGAAATTATGAAAACAATATAACAAGAATATTCACTTTTTAAAAAATACTCAGCTCTTATCTGAAAAGAAATTATTATTCCTTAATAATTTCATATACAGGAAGACTTCTGTCTACATTCCAACAAAACCTGTGGGGAAGTCCTTAGACCACAGTCTATTTTTCTCACTGATAGATACACTAATTTCAGGCAAATCATTCTGAAATGTTCAGAGGCTGAAGCATTGCTCAAAACTTTCCCATTATCTTCTCAGATAATGGTGTTTCTGACTTCCCAGGTAGTTCTTCTGATAAAAAAGCACCAAAAGAATGCCAATCAACCCACAATGCTGGTGTCTTGCTTAACCTCCCCGCTAGGGCTGGCTCTTGGCAAAACTACAAAACAGGTTAGCTAAGATTACTCTAAGCTCCTTCTCCCCTTCAGCACTGTGTAGCCTGGACTGTCCTCTCAGGATGACCCAGCCTAGGGGCAGAAACTACCACAGCAGGTTTCTCTAGAGCTCTTGATTCTTTGCAAGATGACTTTGAAATGTGATAAGCTAATCCATCAAGATCATGACAG